AGCCCGCCATCCCCCTCGCCGCCACCGCCCTCACCGCCGCCTCCGACGAGAGCCCCCCACCACCGCCGCCGTCACCGCCGCCGCCGTCGCCGCCGTCGCCCTCACCGCCGCCACCCTCACTGCCGCCGCCGCCGCCGCCGCCGCCGCCGCCGCCGCCGCCCGGCCCGCTGCCGCCGTCGCCGCCTCCGCCCTCGCAGCCGCCGCCCTCACCGCAGCTGGCCTCACCGCCGCCGCCTAGCCCACCACCTCCCTCGCCGTCTCCACGGTCGGGTTCGCACCGAGCCCGCCGCCGCCGCCGCCGCCGCCGCCGCCGCCGCCGCCGCCGCCGCCGCCGCCGCCGCCGCCGCCCTCACCGCCGCCACCGTTGCCGTCGCCGCCGCCGCCCGGCCCACTGCCGCCGCCGCGGCCTCCGCCGTCGCGGCCTCCGTCCTTCTCGCCGCAGCCCTCACCGCCGCCACCGCCGCCGCCGCCGCCGCCGCCGCCCTCGCCCCCGCTGCCGCAGCAGGCCGCCGTCGCTGCCTCGCAATCGCCGGCGCCGCCGCCCTCGCCGCCGCCGCCCTCGCCGCCGCCGCCCTCGCCGCCGCCGCCGCCCTCACCGCTGCCTCCGAGCCTGCCGCCTCCCTCGCCGCCGCCGTCACCGCCCCCACCGAGCCCGCCGCCGCCGCCGCCGCCGCCGCCGCCGCCGCCGCCGCCGCCGCCGCCGCCTCTGAGCCCCCCACCGCCCTCACCGCCGCCGCCGCCGTCGTTGCCGCCGCCCAGTCCGCCGCCGCCCACAGCCCACTGCCGCCGTGCCGCCTCCCCTCGCCGCCGCCGCCCTCGCCGCCGCCGCGTAGCCCGCCGCCTCCCTCGCCGCCTCCACCGTCGCTGCCCCCACTGAGCCCGCCGCCGCCGTCGCCGCCGCCGCCGTTGCCGCCGCCGCCCTCACTTCCGCCACCGTCGCCGCCGCTGCCCTCGCCGCCGCAGCCGTCGCCGCACGCCGCCCAGTCCTCTCCGCCGCCCAGCCCGCCTCCGCCCAGTCCGCCGCCGCCGCATCCGCCCTCGCCACATCCGCCCTCGCCGCCGCCGCCCTAGCCACGCGTCCCTCATCGCCGCCTCCGAGCCTGCCGCCTCCCTCGCCGCCTCTACCGTCGCCGCCCCCACCGAGCCCGCCGTTGCCGCCGCCGCCGCCGCCCAGCCCGCCGCCGCCCAGCCCGCCGCCGCCCAGCCCGCCGCCGCCGTCGCCGCCTCCCCCCTCGGCGCCGCCGCCGCCCTCGCCGCCGCCGCCCTTGCCGCCGCAGCCCTCGCCGCCGCAGCCCTCGCCGCCGCCTCCGAGCCCGCCGCCTCCCTCGCCGCCTCCACCGTCGCCGCCCCCACCGAGCCCGCCGCCGCCGTCGCCGCCGCCGCCCTCGACGCCGCCGCCCTCGACGCCGCCGCCCTTACCACCGCCACCGCCACCGCCGCTGCCCGGCCCGCTGCCGCCGTCGCCGCCGTCGCCGTCGCCCCGACGGCGCAGCGGCGGCGCAGCCACCCGCTTACGCGTTACGGCATCGTCTTGGGGTTGTGCTCGCGCCGGCCGACCTCGCCGAGCCGCTAGCGCGCGCGAGGGAGGCATGTGCGTTGCGCCGCTCAGCGGCCGTGGAGGGCGAGCGCGGGGGATGCGCGCGCTTACTAGTAAGTGCTACATTGTGCGTGCTGTATGTCGGTCTGCACACTGTACAGTGCCACGGTGCCAGTGGGGTGTGAATGTGAACACTGACCCTCACACACTTAGGGTTGGTCAACCATGTGGGTGTCTATGTGTTTCCCTCGGGCAGTAGATTCTTATTTCATCGTCAAAAAGCGCCCGTATTCACTTGCCAAAATCGCGACCCGGGGTGTTCGACCGGGCTATAAAACTTTTAAAGAATGTCCTGAGTTTCTCTTTGTCTGTCGTGTGAATCGTGCGTGCGCGAACGGCTTTGGTTGTAAAATTCTCTTTTTCGTCGTCCTGAAAAAAGAAAAAAGTGTTCTCGCTCTCCTTCTTTCTATAGGAGTCGCTTAGGCGGCTCCGGTGGTGTGCCGGTGTGTGGTAGTCTGCGCCAGTCCGCGCTTGCACGAATAATTCCTTTTTGACAAACCAGGTCCAAGCCGGGAAACGTCCGAAGAGTTGAGTGATCGTGCGAAAAAGAATTTTATACCCCCTCGCACGACACTGGGCACGGGTCTGGCGCGCACTGGCACAAAAACACAGACAGGTACACCAAACGTTAAGAGCTGAACAGTGTTGCTAGTGTTAACAGTAACAACAGAACAACAGTGGGGCTCCCCAACAACAGTAGCTAACGTTAGGCCGGCTGAACAACAATACCAAAGAGCTAGGGAGCGCGAACAACACTTGCGCCTGCCCCAGCCACTAGCAGATAGCAGATACAGCCCACAGGCCACAGGCCACAGCTCAAAATTTGCTTCGGCTCGCTGCGCTCGCGTGGCTCCGGCGGACGGAACGCCGCCACATCGTACCCGCTCAGAGACCCGAGATGATCTCCGATGGCTCCCGGTAACCGTCTACGAGGGGCGGGCGTGGAGCAAGTGGGTCCGCCCTTGCACGAGAGCACGACGGTGGTACGAGAAACCCCACCTAGAGCACTCGAGCTGTGATGCGGCTCAGTCCACGATCACGAGCTGATCGTCCTCGGCCACGAGTTCCTCGATGAGGAAGAAGTGCACAATGCACTCGGCGATCCTCTGCACGTTGCGCAGAAAGGCTGTGCGGTCCACGCGGCGGCAAACAATGTAATCTCTGATGCTCTGCACATGCTCATTCGTCAATGCCCTCCTCACACTCGGCAATTGCCGCATCTGCAGCCCCCTGCTCCATATCCCGATACTTCTTGAGTGCTCGGTTTAGCGGTAAGGCGAGTGCGCTGCAACGGCGCGAGCGGGACAGTCGCGATGGAAGGTGGAGAGACGGGAGTGCTGCTGCAGGCGGCGGCGGGGTGCCTCTGCTTGACGTGTCGCGGCTCGACGGCGCACTGAGCGGCTGCGTGAATGCCTCCGCCCTGGCCAACCAGGCGTGCGTGTGCAAGCGAGCGTACAGTGATCACGTCCACCCAACGCTGCAGCACGCGCAACAGCCCGCGCAGCCAGCCGAGTGTACGACCCTCTGGTCGCCGAGCCTTGGCGACGCGACGCGCACGTCGCCAAGGAGTTCGTAAAATGTCCGAGGTTTGCCGTACTTTAGTCACGTGACTGTACCCTTTGGGGGGCTGCATCTTGGTGTGAGGGACGCGGGTCGTATTAACGGGTCGTTATAAAGAAGTCGGGGGCGCACACTGTCAGCTCTAGGACGCGGTGCACGGAGCTCGGAGGCGGGGCGCACCGGCCACCGCGCCGAGCACGGGGCCCCGCGCTCACGCGCCCTCTCCCGCAGACCCACCGGCAAGCGCGACGAGCTCCTTGAGGCTGATAGGGCGGAACCCTCCCCCGCCCCCTCCCCCTCCCCCTCCCCCGCCCAGCTGGCGCGCGTACACCAGCTTCTTGTCGCTGTCGAGCACCACCTGCAACCCGCCAAACGAGATATGGGGAGATCTGGGGAGATCTGGGGAGATCTGGGGAGATATGGGGAGCACCACCTGCACGCCGCCAAACGAGAAGACGGCGCGCCCCTCGCTGCGCACCCCGAGCGGCATGAAGACGGCGCCTGCGCACACAGCTCGCAGTCAGGCTACCACTACTACTACTACCACTACTACTATTACCACTACTGCCACTACTACTGAGACGGCGCCGTGCAGCGAAGCGAGCCGCTCCAGCATCTCGCGCAGCGTCGGCTCGCCGTCGGCGCCGCGCCGCGCCGCCTCCTCCTCCGCCGGCCTCCGCACGCCCTCGCCTCCTCCGCTCGCCGCCGCCGCGGCCTCCTCCTCCTCCTCCTCCTCCTCCTCCCCCTCCCATCGGGGCGGCGGCGGCGGCGGCGTGCCGTCCGCGCCGCCCTCGCGCGCCGCGGCGGCGTCCGGCACCTACGTCCCATACCTCCAGAGTACCGAATCCAGTGTGGGTTCGGTCCCGTGGGTGGTGTGGTAGCGCCTGCTCCGCGTCCAAGGCCGCGTTGATGCGGTGCAGCGCCGCGTCGAAGCGCGCCCGCACGGCGACATCGTCGATGAGGCCGGGCGCCTGATTGAATGGTCGGCTCCGGAGTCACCCCGAATTGCTGGCTCATTAGGCCCGCCCGCCGTCGAGGGGGAGGCGGGCGCCGGCCGGAGGAGCAGCGCCTTCCAGCCGCAGTACCACTGCGAGACCTCGCCCCAGTCGGGGTCCTGGCCGAGCCACGCGGCGAGTTAGTAATGAATTAATCGGCTCGTCATTCATTAATTAATCAGTCGGGGTCCTGGCCGAGCCACTCAGCGACTTAGTAATTAATTGATCGGCTAGTCATTAACTCATCAATCGATCGGGGGCCTGGCCGAGCCACTCGGCGAGGGCTGCCAGCCTACGGCGCGGGGAGGGGAGGTGGGTAAGGTAGGTGAGCTCGCCAAGTCGCTTGGGCGAGAGGAGGAGGAGGGGTCCGCGATCTTGGAACGAAAGCCTACTGCTGCTGCTGCTGCTGCTGCTGCTGCTGCTGCTGCCTGCTGCTGCTGCTGCTGCTGCTGCTACCGCTGCTACTGCTGCTGCTACCCCCGCATCTACCGCCGCCGGCCAGCGCGGGAAGAAGGTGCGCAGCAGCAGCGCCTATTCACAGCAGTGGGTGTGAAGAGACGCTGTTCACACCTCATCGCACGGCGGGCGCGCAGCAGCAGCGCCGCGAGCTGCTCCAAGCCGAGCAAGCCCGCCTACTCAGCAATGAGCATGGAGCTCACTCGGAGCTCATTCGGCCGCGAGCTGCGCCTTATCTCCCCATATCTCCCCATATCTCCCCATATCTCATTCAGCCGCGAGCTGCGCCCGCCCGACAACGAGCCGCCCACACGAGCACGCGCCGGACCGAGAGATGGGGAGAGGTGGGGAGATATGGAGAGATGGGGAGATCTGGGGAGATCTGGGGAGATATTGGGAGATCTGGGGAGATCTGGGGAGATATTGGGAGATCTTGGGAGATCTGGGGAGATCTGGGGAGATCTGGGGAGATATTGGGAGATCTACGAAGAGCCGCCCACGCGAGCACGCGCCGGACCGGGCCGAGCTTCTGGTCGGCGGGGTTGACTCTGAAGGCCGCCATCCCCTAGCAATGACACGCATACTCGTAACCGCAACCATAGGGCAACCATAGGGAGGGTGTCGTCTCGGGTACACTCCCCTAGGAAGGATGCTCATCATGGGAACGATGACAACCCTGATCGCAATCGTACTGATACAGGAAGGCTGTCTCGTCCGGCATTGGCATCTCTCCCCATCTCTCCCCAGATCTCCCCACCTCTCCCCACCTCTCCCCATCTCTCCCCACCTCTCCCCACCTCTCCCCACCTCTCCCCACCTCTCCCCACCTCTCCCCATCATCTCTCCCCATCATCTCTCCCCACCTCTCCCCACCTCTCCCCATCTCTCCCCCTCTCTCCCCCTCTCTCCCCCTCTCTCCCCCTCTCTCCCCCTCTCTCCCCCCCTCTCCCCACCTCTCCCCACCTCTCCCCACCTCTCCCCACCTCTCCCCCTCTCTCCCCACCTCTCCCCACCTCTCCCCATCTCTCCCCAGCTCTCGTCACCTCGGCCAGCTTCGGGAGGACGCCTCGCGCCAGCAGCCCTCGCCACGACGCAGCGTCGAGCACCTCACGCCACGGAGACAGCAGCGCCACCGCCGCACCGCACGCGCCTCCGCCTCCGCCTCCGCCTCCGCCTCCTCCTCCGCCTCCCCCTCCTCCCCCTCCGCCTCCGCCGCCTCCGCCGCCTCCGCCTCCTCCTCCTCCTCCTCCTCCTCCTCCTCCGCCGTCG